TAAAGCCACGAGCTCACGAGCCGAGCAGGCTCGTGGCTCGTTTGCTCGTGGGCCGGCTCGGCTCGTGGCTCGTTAAATTTTTTTTTTTTTAAAGCTTTTCTTAGCTTTTTTATTTTTATTTTTTTAATGGTTTTTTCACGAGCGCTCGTCTCCTTACCGAGCCCAGCTCGGCTCGGCTCGTGCTCGGGCTCGTCTTTTGACGAGTCCAAGCGGCTCGTGGGTCGCTACAGTACGAGCCAACGAGCCGCTCGGCTCGATTGCCACCACTAGTTTTTGACCATTTATTCCAAACAGGATGCAGTAGAGCAAGTTGCTTCTTCACCAGAAGATGAAGCAAGCAGCCATGAAGCTGATGAAGACACAAAATCTTTGACCATCCTGAGTTCACCTAGAAGTTTGAGAGTGGTGGAGAAGAAGTTTTCCTTGGAAACTTCTAGAAATTCTGGTGGAGGGTTCCGAATCATAATTGACGAAGAAACTGAGGAAGATTGTGTCCCAGAAGTCGCATCCAATTCTGAAAACGAGGACAACTTCGAGTACTCTTCTATGTACTTTACGGAAATTGCAGCATTTGTTGTTGAGGATTCTGAGGACGAAAATGAAAGAAAAGACATCAGTAACAGAGACAAATCTCTTGCCTTGTGCTATCGAAAAGCTGAGTCCACCAATAGGAGCAATTACAGAATGAATCCACCTGCAATTTATATCAGCAACAGAAGAAAACAGATCTGCAAAAAAAATCGAAGAGCTTATCTCGTTGTGACAGACAGAATGAAATAACCATATTGTAAGACGTTCTTGCAGCAGTTTGTTCCAAATTGCCTATGGTAGATGTTTTTTGAATCATGTACAGTGTACTGTTCGGGCTAGTTCTCTAGTTTGAAGGCACGGAAGAGGATTCAATCTGTTATCCCAAAAGCTGAAACCTCCAATGCTGAAGAACACACTAAGAGGGTTTGCAGGAGCAATGGCATATTTGTCAATGTGATTTTACTGCTCTTCCTCCACCGCCTCCATCTTTTGTTGTCTGGGTACATAGCTGTTAACACACAATGACATTGTGATACGCACGGGTTTTTATATCTCCTACAGGAATTTGTTAGAGCAATTTTTCCTTTACTTCCCTTCCTTTGGGTAGGGATGGCAAAAAAATCCGATAAATCCGATAACTGCGGGGCCTCGCCCCGAACGGGCGGGGATGGTTAACGGGGGCCCTGCCCCATTATATTTTTTTTTAATTTTTTTTTTAGAATTCAATACTTTAAATGAAAAATTTTATTAGTTCTAATAGAATATAGCAACTAAAATTATTTGTCTAAATCTAATGAATATGGACAATAAAAATAAATTATCAAAAACAAAAAAAAAAATTTAATGTTTTGGGAGCATATTTGTCTAAGCTTAAAAAGTATACTTATATAAAGTAAATAAGTAAATTTTAAAATAATTAATTTTTTAGGGATTAAAGCAGCGATCCTTAACCTTTTATTTTTTGTAGACTTTATTCTAACATTTAATTTGTACCAATGAAAGTTCCTAACATTTTAGAAATATGCGGTAGATGTCCAAATGGATGGTTCCATTTGACCGTTAGTTAACCAAAAAAGTCAAAATTTGAACAATTTTGACCTAATGAAAATGGTAAAATGATAACTTGATAATTACCACATTAAGCCCCTATTTGGTACATATTAAAATTTTCATTTTCATTCTTGTACTCATTTTCAACCACACATTTTTCAATAAAATAATATTTTCCATCAAATCAATAATTTTTCCTTCTTTTTCAACAACAAATTCTCCATCAATATATTATTCCAGAATATATTCTTCCAAAATAATGTGGATCAGCTATACAGTAAACCGACACACTATCATCAAACCAAAACCAATTACCTCTATCGAACAAAAACCAATCGCTACCGTTACCATCAAACTTACACCCAAAACCAAAAACCCCACCCCAACATTTCTATAAATTGATATGTTGATTGTTAAAATTTTGAGGCTGGAAATCACAGAAAATGTCGTTCTCGTTTCAAGGCTGATATTATTCATGAAGGAAATAGAAGAAAACGGCAAGTTCTTAGCCTCAATTGGCGCTAGGATTTTACCATTTCTTATTGCAGCTTTGGGCAATAAACAATTGGTGAAATATCTTGAGGTTTTGGAGAAATTGTACGATAGGAACCGCCAATAAAAACTGATTCAGGAGGAGGACGATAGGTGTGTGATTGGATTTTTGGCGATGGGTGTGAGAAGGAGATGTTGCAGGCAATGGTGTGTGATTGGATTTCTGGCGGTGGTATCGGCAATATGTGATGGTGATGGTGCTAGTGGCTGATTTCAGGGGAAAGAGGGCAGGACGAGGCGGCTGAAGGTGACAACCTTTATTTTATTTCTTTTCTTTTCTTAATTATTTTTGGTTTTTTGGTTCAATGGTAATTATCAAGTTACCATTTTACCTTTTTTTATTAGGTCAAAATTGATCAAAATTTGATTTGGATAATTGGCGCAAAACGTCCTTACCTTTGACGAGTTTTGTCTAAAACGTTCATACGTTTCGCTTCTTGGCGCAAAACGTCATACCTTTCACATTTTGGCGCAAAACGTCATTTTCCCCATTTTTCGACCATTTTACCCTTCTATTAAAATAAAACAAAAAAATAGAAAAGAAAAATACATAATAAATTGCAATTATGGGTCCAAACTTTTAAAAATGTGCAAATCAGTCACAAACATGAAAAAATATCACCCCCTAAGCCACCACCTTTGAAAGCAAATTCCTCAACTTCCGATCACCTTGTCCGTTGGACCAACATACCACCTTGAAGCCCTCATTGCCCTCTTCACAACCCATCCAACCCAACCACCAGCCCCAACTCCGGCAGATTTGGCCGAAAATCAAATTCAAAAATTACAACGCAGGCAACCAGCGAGTTCACACAGGCGAACAATTCAGACGAAAATTGAACCTGTTCTGGGCGTAATTGGGTCTGACCCATTAGTGGGTCAGCTGCTCCTGATGAAGACGAACCCAACCCAGGTACCCTGGGTTGGTCGAACGGGGCCAGAATCAGAGTTCTTCGAAGCGTAGAAAAGAGCTCGCGAATGGCACTATTTCATGAATTAATTCAGTTTGATGGTATGTTGTTTGGAGTGAATTGGGGCCATATTCTGTGTCTCCTGGACCTAGGCGACCACCTGGGTTGGCCGGACGGGACCAGAATCAGAGTTCTTCGGAGCATAGAAAAGAGCTTGCGAATGGCGATGTTTCATGAATTAATTCAGTTTGATGGTGTGTTGTTTGGAGTGAATTGGGGCCATTATCTGTGTCTCCTGGACATAGGCAGACAGTTCGTGGTGGTCCGCGACCATGACTGTGGCCGGATGAGAGATTTCCTGCAGGTTGCAGAATTTCGATTTGCTGGTTATGATGCATGATTTCGGGAGTATAAGTGGATGAAATGGGGAGTTCTTGGGTGGAAATTGTAAAGGATGTTAAGGAGATTAAGTTGGCAGTGATATTCGGTGGTATTGGTGGTCGGAATGAGGTGGAAATTGGGTCCATAACCGGCGGCTAGGAGATTAAGAGAGTTTTTTTTTGTTCGTTTTAATATTTTTATAAGTTTTGGACTCATTTGCATTTTTAGAAAAGTTTAGAAGTAAGATTGCAATTTATTCTGTATTTTTCCTTTCTTTTGTTTTTGTTTTATTTTAATAAAAGGGCAAAATAGTCAAAAATTGGGGAAAATGACGTTTTCCCCGCAAAACCCGTCAAATGTAGATTCTTTTGTTTTTGTTTTATTTTAAGAAAAGGGTGAAATGGTCAAAAATTGGGGAAAATGACGTTTTGCGCCAAAAATGTGAAAGGTATGGACGTTCTGCGCCAAGAAACGAAACGTATGGACGTTTTGCACAAAACCCGTCAAAGGTAGGGACGTTTTGCGTCAATTACCCATTTGATTTTCTTGGTCAACTAACGGTCAAATAGATGCCATTCATTTGGACATCGGTGCATATTTCTGAAAGATTAAGGACCTTTGTTGGTACAAATTGAAAGTTTTAATTAAAGTCTGCAAAAAAAGTGAAAGATTAGGGACCACTGGTGCAATTTTTCCAATTTTTTATTAATCAATGTTGAGTTGCACCCGTTTGATCCCCATTATTCCACATTATAATCAGAAAAATAATAATTTTTTGGAGAATGTGTTGTTAAAAAATGAATTTTTTTCGATTTATGTGTAATATTATTTTATTAAAAAATGTATGATTGATAAGAAGAGAGATAAATGAATTATAATTTAATGAGGACCAGGATTTTGAACAATTATATTGCCATATGTTCTGTATTAAATGACTACTATTAACTTAACTACAAAAGTTAGCAGCATTTGGCTTTGAAACTCCATTCCAGTTTCTGTCCTTGATGCATTTGGTGATTTGTATAATACTGATCACAAAGAAATTGTGCGGTTAATTCTGTGCATGAAACATGCTCGATATCAATACTATTGCTCTAATGTCAGCAGACAGCAGCAATGGAATTCCAAATTTTATGGTCCATAAGATGATTGAAGCAATTGTCTCCCTATATATTTCGACATCAAGACCAACAAAAACTCCCATTACGAGTACAATGCATGTGTACTCACATTACGCCGGGCGCTTCAAATAAAATTTGCATAGCAAATGGCAATAAAACAAAATTACGGAAAACATGTAAATTCTCAATCTGGATAAAACAGATTGTTCCTGAAATTCGACAAAAATGGTGAACAGTGTTTTATCAGGTTCAACAAAACTTGCATTGCAGATGTTGGTATGTAACTGTACATCAAGCTGCAGTATTCCATTCAACATTGAAAATTAATCGCAGTCAAGAAAATTATGCAATTATACAAATAGAGATAATATAAATTATCATTTTAGCTTGTAAGTCTTGCACATCTAGGTTGTAGAATGGGATGTTCTTGTTTGTTCATAATCTCCAATCTCATTCAAGCACCCTCTACAATCAACAAAGACTGAAGTTCTTCTCTACGGCGCTCCAGATCCTGTAAATGATATAGAAAGATAAATATCGTTTGATTCTGTAAAAACACTGAAGAATGGGAGAAAACACGTATCAGTTAGTACAGAAACCGATTCAAAGAAGTATGATTAATCTGTATTTCTTTCTTCCTCTTTTTTCATGGGGAGAGGAACTATAATCAATTAAAATGAACAATACTGCATGTTTTCATTAATTATCTTACTAAGGGCATGTTTGATAACACGGGATGGTACTAGATATAACAGTATAAATGATTTTTCCTTTTTGCTAAATGATAGATTACCTGGAGATCCTTAATTGCTTGATCCCTTGAAAGTTCTTTCTTCTGGCGAGCACGCTTGCAAACACCAATGCATAATATTCCCTGAAAAAAAAAAATTAAATATAAGAGAAGTTACCATGCATAATATTACTCATGAGTCGACATGACACAATCAGTATTGGGTTAGAAAATGGTACGAAATCAACTTTGATTCACCTAAAGAAAAGAATTATATAATTATGGACATGTAAAATGGTGATACATAGAGAAAAGATTTCAAGTTGAAGCATATGATTAACTAATAAATTTGTTATGACTGACTGGAAAGTAAACTATCGTCTACCATAATGATGGTCTCATGAACTTACAGATATAACATAAATCACACCACATGCAAGAAGCAGGTAGCTGGCTATGCTCTGAAGAAGAAAGAGCTTTCGATGCTTCACAAAGTACTCGGGGTAAGCCCTGGTCATCACTGCAACACTGGGAAAAATCCACGTAAAATTAACACAACTTATAGCTAAAGACCAAAATTCAGTTCCTAAAAAAGTGAAGACAGATGGAGCACAGATGTGAGTTTGTTCTATCAATCTTTGATTAGAAGTCAAACGTACAATATCTGTAGCATACCCCTCCCAGCCCAAAACTCCAGGACCTGCAATATAATCATGAAGATTTAAATTCAGATATCAAATGCTATATGGAGTTCAAGCAGCCAATTTAAGCTGAAACGATAAAGCAAAAGAAAAATGAAAATGGCCAAAACAAACACCAGTTCGAAAAGCCATTGTGAATTTTCCAACCCATTACACATACAGCACTAGTAATGTTTGGTTCTTCTATTCCATTTACCCTGATTTCAAAGCTTGGTAGATTGATCTCTTAACGTCTCCCGACCCATATCCAATATCAGGACTCATGTTCTTTCCCATCTGTATGTGGAAACCCTGACCTGAAGGTCCCCATCTAGTTTTCCTTACATGATTCACTACCTTTCAATGTGTGCTACAATCTTTGTGCATCATTCATCTCTTCACTTATGTGAATAACTAATTCTTGTATTTCTCTCTCATTTCTTAGTTTTTATTAATTATTTCCTTACATTGATTTCCTTCTGCCATGAGAAAATTAAATCAACAGTCCCCATTCTGTAGCTAGATGAGCATGCATTCAATATCTTGGCAAATGGGTCTCCCACCTTCAATATTCATGGCAAGTAGATCTCCACGAAGGATTCCATCCATAAAGTCCATCTAAATGTTACATGTATATAGGTAACGTAAAATAGGGCGAAAGGAGGGGGAGAGCAGAGGTGTAAAAAAGGCAGGGACGCCCATGCCCGAGATGGCGCGGTCCTTATTTGGCCCAGCACACCAGGTTGTTTTGTGGGCTATTTTGCGCATAGGACGAGGCCCTGGTCTATAGATACAACGGCGTGGCCTATCCGACATATTACCTCTATATCCTTCTATGATTTTTTTTATTTTCCGGTTTGTATATATGATTTAATTAATAGAGGGCCAATGACAGGACAAAAAAAAATTACAGCTCTTGATGGGTCTAAAGTCATCTGATGAGTACCAAGATCTCAGAAGCCTGCTTATACTTACATTTTTCAAATTTTACATAGTTTTTCTAATTACTATTTTGTTCTCTACAGAAGGAAATAAACTGATGCATCTAATACGTGCATAACTACAGGGAAGCACACAATGCAAGAAATGCAAGTTAACACGCTCCATGTTATGCCTAATTAGCTAACCTTCCCCATCAACGCGCCAACATATTAGCAATTTCTGAATCATGGTGATACATAATCCATATGAGAACTCAAAAGTAAATGTCTTAATTTTGAGACTCAAGGAGCATATCTTGTTGTGCTTAAAAGTTACTTTTCCAGTTCGGATTTACTTTTTGAAAAGTTTGTTTTCTTACAAGTACGTAACTTCAAAGTAAATAAGTTTTTTAAGCCTAGCCAAACATGCTCAAGAGGTCTAAAGGTTAACTTCTTATTTGATATTGCCATCCCAAGTGAGAGACGAATTGCAATTATAATTGCACAAATGTGAATAATGTATCATTCCCTCACTCAATGCAATCCTCAAACAACACGAAACAATAAATAATTTGCTTTATATGGGCATAGCTCAAACTGAAATGGAAAAATTATTATGCAAGATTCAGGCTTAAAATACCAAGTTTGAACAATAAATAATATAATAAAAAATGATCTTGATAGTAAAAATCGAACCTTCCAGAACTTCATGAAGAATCCCCATTCTGTCTCAGCCGCGACCACAAACATAGCAATCACCACTGCGTAACACCGGAATATTCCATCGAATATCTACACCAAACGGATCAAAACAAATCAGACTTACTTAACCTAGACTTGATAAAAAATATTATCGAGAGAATACCAAAGGAATTAAAATTTACATCTGATCCGTGTTTGAAAGATCGGACGGCGGAGAGAACATTTACAGCGATGCAGAGAATGGCGGCAAGAGAAGCAATCAAGCGGAAGCATCGACAGAGAATCAAGAAGTAGGATGGACCGGACCCGGTATTGTCACCTCTTCTGTCCGATGGCTGCGAGCTCTCTCCCTCCATGTTCTGTTCAGACCTGAACCGAATTCTTCTCTGGAGCTCCAAACTGGACCCAATTAACAAAATGATTGATAATTACTGGTTATGGGATTTCGCTAACACTTTTTATTATATTTTTAGCTCATTTTTGTGTTCTTCGGAATCGATCCACAGCAGGGGTACGTGTGGGTTAGACTGAGGTTGCCACTTTTGAAGTGTACAATTTTGTGTTCTTCGGAATCGATCCATATCAGGGGTACGTGTGGGTTTAACTGAGGTTGCTACTTTTGAGGTATACACTTGTTTTGTTTTTGAAATTAGATTAGAATGTGACAGCAAGGGAACATGTTTGATAATCATTATTTTAAATTTTTTTATTCTATATATTCATTCTTAAATATACATTTATATAATAAAATTAGGTTTAACCAACGTGCAAATTGCAATGCACGTTTGCTTAATTTATATATAATTTTTTTGGTTAAGAATTAAATTTTTATTAATAAAGATGTAATTTTTTGGTTAATTAAATAACTAATGATATAATATTTATGTAATTGATAAATAATTACACATTGTAATTTATTAAAAAAAGAGCATTAATAGAATCTATAGCATCATTCTATATATAAACATCGCTCAAAGTTTTATGAAAATTGTTTGAGATAATTTTGATTCTAAGATAATGATTCAGCATTTTCCTCATCTTGCACTGCTTCAATAGAGAGGACATTAAACTGTCTATATTTTTTCTCCTTTAGTTTCTCTGGATCTACATAAATTTGAATCTTCCAAAATTCTTTTGATAATTTCTCTGCAACGCTTTTAACATATGGTCAATTTTCCTACAAAATAAAATTTGAATATGTTTACATAATTAATAAAAAAAA